GATAAAGTGGACTGGAGCAATAATCAAGATGGCTTGGCCCGCAGAGATCTTCAGTGGTGGCTAATTGATCATGATGTCCTTGAACTAAGTACATGGCAGCCTACTAAAGTCTGACCTGCTCTGCATGCCTCACAGTTTGCTATGCCATGTTTTCATTTGCATTTGTGCAAATGTTTTCTAATTTCACTTGCAGTTTTTCTCTTTGACTCATGGGTATTTAGAAGTGTGTTATTTAGTTGGGGATTGACTTCCAATTTAATTCTGTTGTTGTCAGAAGAGATACTTTGTATGACTTTCACCCTTTAAAATATATTAACACTTGCGTTCTGGTGCAGAATACAGTCTGTTTTGGTCAACGCTGTCTGTATACTTGAAAGATATGTATTCAGATGTTGGGTGAAGTGTTCTATAAATAGTAATTAGGTTAAGTTGATTGATAATGTTGTTCATGTTTTCTATACCAGAGATTGGCAGGCTGGGGGTGGTGGTTCATGCCTGTAATCCCAGCATTTTGGGAGGCTGAGGCAGGTGGATCACCTGAGGTCGGGAGTTCGAGACCACCCTGACCAACATGGTAAAACCTTGTTTCTACTAAAAATACAAAAATCAGCTGGGCATGGTGGTGCACACTTGTAGTCCCAGCTACTCAGGAGGCTGAGGCAGGAGAATCACTTGAACCCGGCAGGCAGAGGTTGCAATGAGCCAAGATTGTGCCACTGCACTCACACCTGGGTGGCAGCGTGAGACTCTGTTGCAAAAAAAAAAAAAGATTGGCAAACTTTTTTTTGAAGAGCCAGATTATAAATATTTCTGTCAGTGGAGGCCATACTATCTCTGTTGCAACTCAACTACTCAACTCTGCCATTATAGCATGAAGGCAGTCACCAACAGTACGTAAAAAAGTGTTTGTGGTTGTTTTCCAATAAAACTTTGTTTACAAAAACAGAGCTAATCTGTTTTCAGATCTCTGTTCTATAAGTTTATTGATTTTCTGTCTTCTTATTCTGTCAGTTATTGAGAGAATGTGTTGAAATCTCCAGCCACAACTGTGGATTTGTCTGTTTTCCCCTTTAGTTTTTGCTTCATGTAATTTGAAGCTATGTTATTAGGTGCATTAATATTTAGGATTTTTATGTTTTCTTGACCAAGTAACTCTTTATCATTATGAAATGTCCTCTTTATTCCTGGCAATAGTTCTTGTTCTGAAATCTATTTTATATGATATTAGTATAGTATCCCAGCTTTTCAAAAAGAGTGACTTCATGGTGTGTGTGTGTGTATTATATATGGAATATATATAATATACACATGAAATATATATAACATGGAATATATAATATATGGAATATATTATATGGAATATGTACATTATATATGGAATATATAATATATGAAATTATATATAATGAAATACATATTATATTATATATAATATATAATACATAATAATATACACAAATGAAATATATATATATTTACACTCCACTTAAAAAATTTTAACCTATCTGTAGCTTTTATATTTAAAATGGGTTTCTTGTAGACCGCATATAGTTAGGTCTTATTTAAAAAAGATGTGGCTGTGCGTGGTGGCTCACGTCTATAATCCCAGCACTCTGGGGGGCCCGAGGCAGGTGGATCACCTGAGGTCAGGAGTTCAAGACCAGCCTGGCCAACATGGTGAAAGCCCATCTGTACTAAAAATACAAAAAAATTAGCCAGGCATAATGGTGGATGCCTGTAATTTCAGCTACTTGGGAGGCTGAGGCAGGAGAATCTCTTGAACCCAGGAGGCAGAGGTTGCAGAGAGCCGAGATCACGCCATTGCACTCCAGCCTGGGCAACAAGAGCAAAACTCCATGTCAAACAAACAAACAAACAAAATTCCATCTGATAATCTGTGCCTTTTAGTTAGAATGTTAGGACATTTACATTTACTGTGATGACTGATATGGCTGAATTTAAATCTAGCATATTGCTAGTTGCTTTCTATGCCATCTGTTCTTTGTTTTTCCTTCTTTTCCTGCTTTATTTTTCTTCTGCAATGTCTAATATACTGTTAATCCCGTCCATTGTAGTTTTTATTTCTAGAAGTTTAAGTTTTGACTTTTTTATATGTTCAATTTCTCTTTTCACCATGTTCATGTTTTCTTCTTCCTTCTTGAACATGTTGAGCATTTTTATAATAGTTGTTTTAATGCCATAATCTAATAAATCTATCATTTGCATCATTTGTTGATCTGTTTCTATTGATTAATTTTTCTCCTTTTATTTTCCTGTTTCTTTGCATGTCTGATAATTTTTGATTGAACAGCAGACATTGTAAGTGTTTCGATCCTGGGTGCTGGATTTTGTGTGCTTGTGCTTTGTTCTGGGATAGAGTTTGATTATTTTGTGACTTGCTTTTAAGCATTGACCCAGAATAGCCTTTAATCTAGGACTAATTTGGCCCATTGTTGAGTTAAGGGAACTTTCCATTCTGGCCAATGGGCACATGAATGCTTCCTGGCCCTATGTCAACCCTAGGGATTGTTCTGTCTGCTACTTTTCAGTGGTTCTTTACCTAGCCTCACAAGTTTCTTCACATACATGCAATGATCAATATTCCACTGACTAACTGAGGAGAGCCCTGTGCAGAATTTCAGTACCACCTACCCCCTCTCTGCAGCTCTCTTTCTGGTACTCTGCCCTGTTAATTCTCTCTACCTTGTCTTTTCTGAACACTGTCTCTGTAAACCAGGGAGACTACAAGAGTCTGTTTAAGCCTCCCAGCACTGCAGCCTGAAACTCCCTCCAGGGATGAGACAGCACAGCAATGGGGCTCACCTCATTCATTTTCATTCCCTCAGAGATCATCATCCTGCACTGTCAGTAAAATCTGAAAGCCATTGTTTTGCATATTTTGTTTTGTTTTGTTTAGTTGTTTAAGATGGGAGGGTAAGTCTACTCCCTGTTACACCATCATGACCAGAAGCAGAAGTCATATAATTTGATCTGGCTAAACACCAACAAAAAAGGTTCTTTAGGTCATGTGACTAGAGCCCTGAATTGAATTGCCATAATAGAGAGTCACAGTCCCTTATCCAGTTCCCAGATCAGAGCCAGTTCCCAGACGGGCATCCCTTGAATAAAGGGGTTGCTGGAATCCCTGAGGAATTACCTTGTGACACTGCCCCCAAGCCAGACCCAAGAGACTCAGGCATGGTATTCCTTTTAGAAGTGCTGAGAAAAGTTACTCTTTGTCTGCTGGGATTGCTCAGCTAGGAAGAGGTAAGGATAGAGATGTGGCCATTGTGGGGTGGGTCAAGACATATGGAGGAAACAAGAACCAAGAAATGGACACAGCTGGTTCTTGAAGCCATCTTTTGAGCCCCCACATCAGCCTTGTGGGTCATGGTTGTTCAGTCTCATGAGCTAATGTATTGCCTGTTTTGCTTAAGTCGCTTTGAGGTGGGTTTCTGTGTTGGGTTGAGACCTGAGAAATTTGTATCAGGGCATGAGAGGAACTTCTTGAGAGAGGAAGCACTCCCAGGGTCTGGATCACATGAAATAGCCCAGGGAAAATCCAGGCAATGTGAGTCTGCAGATTCCAATTGGGAATACCAACTAGGGATACCAAGGAGCTCACCTAGCCCCAAGAAGGTGAGGGGGGCAAACCAGGCATCCCAATTCCAGAGCTCAACCCTTGCCAGGATCCTAGCTGCAGCCCCTCTGGGACTTTCATGTCCTCTTTCTTGTCTCTACAAGCATATGTGACATCTGACTTGTGACAGGTCTGGGGCTAGTGCTCCAGTGGGGAGGTATATTCAGCTTTTCTTGCATTGCTGTAAAGAAATACCTGAGACTGGGTCATTTATAAAGAAAAGAGGTTTAATTGGTTCATGGTTCTGCAGGCTGTACAAGCATGGTGCCAGCATCTGCTTGGCTTCCGGGGAGGCCTCAAGAAGCTTACAGTCATCGTGGAAGGTGAAGCAGGATCAAGTACCTCATATAGCAAAAGCAGGAGCAAAAGAGAGTGGGAGCAGGGAGGTGCCACACACTTAAACAACTAGATCTTGTGAGAACTTACTATAGCGAGGACAGCACCAAGCCATGAGGGGTCCATCCCTATGACTCAAACTCCTTCCACCAGGCCCCATCTCCAACATTGGGATTACAATTCAACATGAGATTTGGAGGGGATAAATATCCAAACCATATCAAGAGGGGAAAGGGATGCACAGGGGGTTCTGCATTCCTTGAGGGTAAGGTCCAACCAGGAGGCTGGGAGCTGATTTTCTACACAGGCTACCCTGCCTCTTCTCCACCCTGTCATACTCTGGGTGGTGTCCTTAGATATGTGCATCTCCCCTCCCAGCCCCCAGACTTCTCAGATATCACTGAGCACCAATTGCACTGAATCCAGTATCCCCCTCACCATGTACCTCCCTCACCCAGCCCTCTATCCATCCAGGAGCCATTCAGGGATGCATCCTTAGTTCTAGGCCCTGGACCAAGCTCTTGGGCTACAGTATTGCCAGATATGACCTTTCTTTCTACAAGTGGAGGTGAAATTCAGTCAGTCCTGGAAAGCCCCAGCATGGCTCCATTGCCAAGAAGAAGCAGAAATGTGTGTGAGTTCTTACCCACTAGAATGGCTACAGTAAATTAGACAGACCAAAATTATTGTTGAGGGTGTAGAGAGATGGGAATGCTATACACTGCTGGTGGGAATGTAAGGTGGTGTAGCTGCTTTGGAAAATAATTTGGTGGCCGGGTGTGTAATGGTGGCATGCTTCATGCCTATAATCCCAGCTCTTTGAGATGCTGAGGTAGGAGGATCGGTCGAGGCCAGGAGTTCAAGACCAGCCTGGGCAACACAGTGAGACCTTATCTTAAAAAGAAAACAAAAATAATTCGGTGGTTTCTCAAACAGTTAAACATAACACAACCATGTGACCCAGCAATTCCACTCCTAGGTGGAATAAAATGAAAATAAGAGAAATGAAAGCATATGTCCACACAGAAACTTGTACATGAATGTTCTTAGCAGCATTATTAATAATAGTCAAAGAGTAGAAACAACCCAAATGCTCATCAACTGACGAATAGATAAACAGTATGTGGCATAATGGAACGTTATGCAGTTATGAAAAGGAATGAAGCCCGTTTACATGCTCCAACATGATGAACCTTGAAAACATTAAACTAAGTGAAAGAAGTCAGTCATAAAAGGAATGAAGCCCGTTTACATGCTCCAACATGATGAACCTTGAAAACATTAAACTAAGTGAGAGAAGTCAGTCACAAAAGGCCACATATTGTATTTGTTACCACAAATTGTTGAATCCTATACTTGAAATAGGTGAGTTTTATGACACGTAAAATACACCTCGGTAGTTTTTTCTTTTTTTAAAAAGTGTGTTAGGAGACTGAGGAAGAGTAAGGTGGGTGGACAGTGGAGATGGAAGACTCTCATTCCTGAGATTTGTCTTTCTTAATAATTCTGAAATCTGCCCAATTCTCTCCATCCCTACTGCCACTACCCTGGACCAAGCTGCCATCATCTGTCTGTCTGTTTCTCTGACCACTGCCACAGTGTCCTCACTGACCTCCCCATACCTGCTCCTTTGCCCTCTCCATTTACTGGCCACACCACAGTCAGGTAGGGGTCTTTTTTGCAATGTGCCTTTGATTGGGTCACTGTTGCTTAGAAAAAAACATAGGCACAAATCTCTGAGCTAGGCAAGGATTCGTAGATATGACACCAAAAGCACAAGCAACCAAAGGGGAGGAAAGCTAGATAAACTGTACTTTGTCAGCATTTAAAACTTTGTGTTTCAAAAACACTATCAATAAAATGAAAAGACAAGCCACGGAATGGGAGAAAATATTTGCAAGTCATATCTTTGATGATGGTCTAGTGTCTAGAATATACAAAGGATTCCTTAAACTCAACAATAAGAAGACAAATAATCCAATTTTTTAAATGGACAAAAGATTTGAATGGGCGTTTCTCCAAAGAAGATAGACAAATGGCAACAAACACATGAAATAATGCTCAGCATCAGTAAAATTATGTGTATCAGAAAATGCACATCAAAGCCACAGTGAGACACCACTTTACACCTGCTAGGGTGGCTGTAATAAAGATGAATGATAGCAATGGCGAGAATGTTGAAGCACTGGAACCCTCTCGCATTGCTTCTGGGGAATGTAAGATGGTGCAGCCATTTTTGGAAACAAATAAACAGTTTCTCAAAAAGTTAAACATAAAACTACCAAATGATCTATCTTCTGCTCCTAGGTATATATCCAAGAGAACTGAAAACAAATGTTCAAAGGAAATCTTATGTTCAAAGCAGCTTTATTCCTAAGAGCTAAAGGCTATAAACAACCCAAATGTCCACCAATGGATGAATGGATGGGCAAAGTATGGAATGTTGATGCCATGTAATTTTATTTAGCCATAAAAAGAGTGCAAAAGTGATATGTAAATTATATCTTTTCGGAGCACAAATATTTTAATTGTCTAAAATGATATTTTCTTTAAGAGTTATCTTCAATTCAAAGCTCACCTTTTTAAGTGTCACATCCGTCAACCTTTTAAGAGACATAAAAGTATGAGAAGATATCACCAGAAGCTATGTAAACATTTCAGCTAAAGGCAAAGAGGAAGTTAAGGGTGTTTTCATAAGGAAACCCAAAGAGGACAAGCGGAAGGAAACAAGTTCAGCATGGTCATACCAATCTGGGTGAAAGAACTAGAGTGGAAACCCAAGCTGCCGAGAAGGCGGTAGAAGAAAAGAAAACTTGGTTCAAACAGATCGCACAAGGAAACCCAGTACAAATGCTGGCTTTTACATTATCTCAGTAACCCTTATTTTTTGTCATAGGTGACTCTAATACTAGACCTATTGTTGCAAAACCAGTCCAAATCCTACCAGCTAAAAAGAAATCTCCACTGACTTGTTGGGTAGGTGGTAACCATGTCCTCCCACACCAAGAGATCAGTTCTGGCAAGAGGGCTCCATTGCATCTTGATGGTGCTGTTGGTAGGACGCCCAGTGATGTTCTACTGCTTGAGATACAAGGTGGGAGGAGAGTGCACTTCATTCATTACTCAATCAACATCTTAGCCTTGAAGAAGCAACACAGGTAGAAAACCTGTCAGGTTGCTAGTCCAATGAAGCAGAACATTAAAGAGACACTGAAGTACAGGGCTCAAGTGTTTGTTGATTCATTGGTATTACACATCTCTCTTCTTCATGCAGCAAAATCATTAACAATAGATTCTGAGAGGTCTTCTAGGCATTGCAGCTCCACCTATAATGGCTTAAACTTCTCGACTTTTGTAATCTCCTTGTAATTTTTTTTTTTTTGCCTCTACTCCATGCTTCGTGTCTAGGATTATGAATTGATCAGGTATCCTCCCTGTTTCTTTACTCTCAAATCATACTTCAAACATGTCATAATCTTCCAGGGTAAAGGTGAATTTCCCTTTGGTTGCATCCTCTTTGGAGTAGAGAATGTGGCCAGCAGAATCTGTGATCCTGAGGTGGCTGTGCAGGCTACCAGCACCCCTGGACTGGTTGGAGATTTCGTACACACCCGTCACTAGCAGGTCCTTGTGGATCTCCTCACGGAGGCACTTTCAGGAGTTAATGGGCAGGTGGAAGGAGATGGTGAGGACCAAGCTGGGATTGAGCAGAAACAAAAACAGCCATGCCAACATTGTTACTGAAAAAAAAAAAAAGGGTGAAGAGTGAAGAACTGATGTTTTCCATGCCATAGATAAACCACAAAATATGTTACATGAAAGAAGCCAGACACAGAAGGCTGCATGTGTAATTGCATTTACATGAAATGTCCAGCAAAGGCAAACCCATAGAGATAGAATGTAGATGAGAGCTTTCCAGAGGCTGGGGGATAGGGTGAATGGGGAGTGACTGCTAAGGGGCACAGATATTCTTTTTTTTTTTAAATTATTATTATTATTATACTTTAAGTTCTAGGGTACATGTGCATAACGTGCAGGTTTGTTACATATGTATACTTGTGCCATGTTGGTGTGCTGCACCCATCAACTTGTCAGCACCCATCAACTCGTCATTTACATCAGGTATAACTCCCAATGCAATCCCCCCACCTCCCCCCTCCCCATGATAGGCCCCGGTGTGTGATGTTCCCCTTCCCGAGTCCAAGTGATCTCATTGTTCAGTTCCCACCTATGAGTGAGAACATGCGGTGTTTGGTTTTCTGTTCTTGTGATAGTTTGCTAAGAATGATGGTTTCCAGCTGCATCCATGTCCCTACAAAGGACAAAAACTCATCCTTTTTTATGGCTGCATAGTATTCCATGGTGTATATGTGCCACATTTTCTTAATCCAGTCTGTCACTGATGGACATTGGGGTTGATTCCAAGTCTTTGCTATTGTGAATAGGGGGCACAGATATTCTTTATGGGGTGATAAAATATTCTGAAATTAGAACAGTGGTATTAGATAGGAGTGATGGTTGCAAAACTCTGGATATACTCAAAATGACTGAATCACGGAAGTTTTTAAGGTGAATTTATGGTAAGTGAATTATACCTCAACAAAAAATATTAACAAGTAATAAGACACTCTAAATTTTAGATATGTACGTGGCCACCCATTTAGTGACCACATTTCCCAGCCTGTTTGTAATCAGCACGGTCATGTGATTAAGCTCGGGCCAATGAGACTCTAGGAGAAGTGATGAGCCCCAACAAGCTGCTGTCTCTGGAGTCCTCATTCTCCTTCCCCTGGGCTGGAAGGCAAACATGGAGGTGACCATTGTGCCACCAGGGGCACAACCCGAGGATGGCAGAGCAACAAGATGGAAGGATCTCTGGATACTGGGTCTCCAGATACTGTTGTGGAGAAGAGCTGCCCTGCCAGCCCTGGGCTGCTCCTCAGCAGACTGCTTCTCTAAGGGGGAATAAGCCAAAGCCATGAAGACACTCATTTTTTCCCTCTCTTTCCTGCTTTGACATGTCCCTCCCTGAGGCAATGAGTACAGAAATGACCTGACGACCTGAATAGGGGAGGAGGTAAAAGAGGGCTTGAAGGAAGTCTGTGGGCAAAAAATTGATAATTTAAAAAACATCTTCCCACAGCAGTACTTCTCATGGCTCTTAGGATGAAGCTCAGAATACTAAATATGCCCCTTCCAACTTAGCGCAGGTTCTCCAGGTACTTGCATGGAATGGCTACTTCAGAACACTTTCCACTTTGTCTAATTATATGTTAATTTGTGTTTCCTCTTGGTTGATGTCTGTCTTCTCCATGAGGCTGTGCATATGGGGAAGTCAGAGACTGTGTCTGTTTAATAGACCATGGCTAGCACTTCGTGCATGATAAATGCATCATACCATTTGTTGGAAAAAAAAATGAACAAAGGAAGGTGTTGTAAATTAGGGGCTTTTGTTAGTCTGAACTATTGACTTCAAGTGACAGAATTGCAGCTCAAATACACAGGCAAGAACAAACTGCTATGGCTGATGTAACTGGGAATTATAAGGCACTAGACAGAGACAATAAAACCAGTCTCTCTCCATTACTGTCTCTACTCTCCTCTATGTGGGCTTCTTACAAGGTGGCACAGAAGTCCCCGGTACTCACAGGCTCTTGTCCCTCCAGTTGAGCTACTTAGTGGGAAAAAAGGACTTTTAAATTTCCCAGTGATTCCAGCAAAAGTCCCAGAATTTACTCTAATTGGTCAAATGTGTGTCACGTGATCACCAATGATCCAATCACCAAGGCCAAGGCCATCTGGTACTGTTTTATTTTTGCAGCAATGTTTGAGCCCACACTGACTCAGGATAGAGGAGATTTGTGAAAGTGGAGATGAGGAAAGGGTTTTTCTCGGCAATGTTTGAGGATAGGCACAGTGAGGGGGGCAAAAATAAAGCCTATATTACGGGCATAGGTTCATGAGAAAGACAACCTAGAGTCCTGACTAGAACTCAAGATGTGGTGTTAACAGGCCTAGGTGAAGTGAGCAGAGGCTGTGCCACTTACTAGCTGGGGCATCTTGGTTGAGTCTTAACTTTGCCTTGACTTGATTTCCCCACCCATAAAATGGGGATTAAAAAAAATCCTAAGTGAGCGGGGTCTTGTGAGAATTTCATGAGACAAAGTACATGAAAGAACTTTGTAGTCAGGAAAGTGGACAAAGATAGAAGCCAACGTGAAGCTGCAAAGGTGGGGGAATCAGATGGTGAAGTCCTTGAGTGCCATGAGAAGGTGTTAGGAGAAGGAATGTGTTCATTGGTTTCTGTCCATCGCATGTGACAGATGATCAACTATAAGTTTCTATGTGAATGATAATTATTTTTTCATATAACATGAAGTCCAGAGGATCGGGCAGCTCCAAGTTTGGATAAGTTAGTGACTCACAAATGCCAGCAGGAATGGAACCACATGGAGCCAGGTGCCATTCATCTTCCTCTTACAATCCTCAGCATGTTCGTGGTCATGAGTTGACTGCTTTGGATCCATTTGCGGAGAGCAGACAAGACCACATTTGATGAAGAAGATGTGCACCTTCTCCATGTTCACAGGAAAGCTTTCAATTGGGGTTCTTGTTTGCAAGCAGTGCAAACTGATTCCATGTAACTTAAGCTTTTATCATCACCCTAAAAGGAATCTTTGCAATGGTATATTAGTTAAAATTAGATTTTCTGCAAGTAATAGACAATCTCAAAATAATGGTCTGCTGTGGATTTGCATAGCGCTAGGGACCCAGGCTCTTCCCAGCTCAACACTCTACCATCCTGGAGGAAGGTCTTCATCCCATGGCTCAAGATGGCAGCTAGAGTTCTGCCATCATATCTGCATGTCAGGCAACAGGATGGGGAAAAGGAGAAAGAAGAGAGGGCAAATTCCAAATGAAAATGTACGTCCACACAAAGACCTATATGAGAACAGTTAGAGCTGCTTTATTCACACTGCCTAAGACTGAAAGCAACACAATTGTCTGTCAACTGGTGAATGGATGAACACATTGTGCTTTATCCATGCAATGGAATACTACACAGCAATAAAAGGGATAGAGTTATTGATACATGCAACAGTACAAATGAATTAGAAAGCATCATGCAAGGCAGAAGCTGCATGACCTTTATGACCTAGCCTTGAATGTCACAGCATAATTTCAACCACCATGATAGAACTGGTCAAAAATCTGTCCAGACTCAAGGGGAGGGATGAAAGAGAGACAGTGTCAAGGAATTTGCATGTATGTTTAAAAATTACCAGTGTTATCTTGGACCAGAGGTAGAGATGGCTGGTTAATGGTGTTCAATGATGCTGAGTGGACAAATAGATTGAGGCAAAGGGAGAAATTACTAGATTCAACAACTAATCCATCCCCATGGAATTCTCTCAAGAGCTTAAGTGGGAGGTGGGAAAGCCAAAACAACCAGTGTAAGCTGCAGAAATGCAGCACACCTAAGGTAGATGGCCTAGCAGAATAGAGATCTCCTGCAGACTCCTCTTAGGAACTTCTGAAAAGAGTTGTCTACACTCCTGTCTTCTCCTTCTTTAACTGCCTGCTCACTCCCTCAGCCTTGACCACCTGGATTCTGCTCCCACTGCCACTGAAACTTCTCTGGAAGGTACTCCTCTCCTCTGCTTGGGCCACCTGAAGCACTTGATGTGTGGATCCCACCCTTCTCCTTTGATTTCTTCTACTGGTTGTACTCTCCTAAATTCCTCCTGATTTCATGCCCACTTCTTCTCTGATGCCAACTATCTCTTCTGTCACCTCGAAGTCAGTATTTTCCAATGATCTTCTCTGGTTCCTCTTCTCTCTCGGCCTTCTCTTGTCCATCCCCTGGCTTCAGTCTTTACCTCTTTGTTGATAATTTTCAAATCTTGGTCTGAAGTGTAGGCTCCTCTCCTGTACTTCAGACCTTGATACTGTATTATTTCCTGAACAGTATAATGCCACACAGGCATCTCAAATTTGGAATACCCAGAGTTGAGCTCATGATCTCTCTTCATCATGCTTGCTTCCTCTTTCCGGGTCCCTGTCTCTGTGAAGGTTCCCACCAACCATGAAACTATCAGATAAAAATCTTCACATCATCCTGTTATCTTTCTTCTTCCTATATCCAATCAATCAGTAGGGTCTCTTGGTTTCACCTCCTAAGTGTTTCTTCTGCTCATCTCCCTCTCCATCTTCACTGTTAGCCACTTCAGTTCTTACTTCCATCAATGGTAGATTATGTTTTCCAGACCAACTCTTCCTCTGAGAATAACTAGAAAATCTGGACTAAATATTTTTTTAAATCTCTTTGAAGAGCTACTATAGCAATGAGAGATTGCAGGGCTAAGATAATTGGAGTTAAGTTAGTAAAAATCTGTGTAGTTCCAGCTACTCAGGAGGCTGAGGCAGGAGAATTGCTTGAACCCGGGAGGCGGAGGTTGCAGTGAGCCAAGATGGTGCCACTGCACTCCAGCCTGGCAACAGAGCGAGATCTGAAGTTGACGGTAAGCCAGATCAACCACTAAGGAGAGAAGGGACACCCAGAGATGGGTGTCTGGCAGATGGGTGTCTGGCATTTGGTACCATTTCCCTCTCAAGGCTGATTCTGAAAGGCTGAAAAGTTAAGAAGTAAACTGAACCCTTTTTTTTTTTTTTGAGACAGTTTGGCTCTGCACCCAGGCTGGAGTACAGTGGCATGATCTCGGCTCACTGCAACCTTCGC